AATAAGAAAATATTCAATCACCTACTCTACATGGATGATCTCAAACTCTTTGCCAAAGACGACAATGGGTTGAAAGGCCTCCTCAATATTGTAAAATACTTCAGTGATGAAATAGGTATGGACTTCGGATTAGATAAGTGTGCAAAAGTAACATTCAAGAAAGGTAGAATTACAGAAACACCCTTAATAAATTTAGATTTTGTCACAAAGATTAGGGAATTGGAGCATGAGGAAGCTTATAAGTACCTAGGAATTAGCGAAGGAGATGGCATACAACACCCCCAAATGAAGGAAAAAATAAGAAAAGAGTACTACAGGCGTGTGCGTCTGATACTAAATACTGAACTAAACTCAAAAAACAGAATATCAGCTATAAACACATTGGCTCCCCCTGTGGTGCAATACAGCTTTAATGTCCTTAACTGGACCATAGCTGAAATTAAGCGAATGGATGCCAAAACGAGAAAGCTTCTCACTTGCTATCGCATGCATCATCCCAAAGCTGATGTTGATCGCCTGTATGTGCCCAGATCCGAAGGAGACAGAGGATTAGTTCAACTAGAACTGTCCTACAAAACTACAACAATTGGCCTCCAAAGATACTTGGAAACTACAGAAGACTGGATGATGGTATGCGTCAAGGAACATGAAAGTAGTAAGCGTCTTTACTCCGTAATGAAAGAAGCCAACAAATTCAAAATGGAGTTTCAAATGGGTGTAGAGATGCAACTACAGCACAATACACCGGCTGAAACTGCAAAATACTAAAAAAAGACAGCAAAGACGAATGCAACCGACCAGATACAGAAGCGATGGCAAGATAAACCACTTCATGGCCAATACTCTGCCCGTACCAAACAAGCTGATGTAGACAAAACCCGTACCCATCAGTGGCTACGCAGTCCAGGGTTGAAAGCGGAAACTGAAGGTTTTATCCTTGCTGCGCAGGACCAATGCTTGATAACTAGGAATTATCAAGCACATATACTAAAATATTGTGTCAGCCCAAAATGCAGATTCTGTGATAAATATCCAGAAACGATTGATCATCTTGTATCAGGTTGCACGATGTTGACACCCACTGAATATAAAACCCGACATGACAGAGTGGGCCAATATCTGCACTAGAAAATCTGCAACTTTTACGGGAAGGAAACTGAAAGAAACTGGTATGAACACCACCCAGACCCGGTTACGGAGATAGGACCTGTTACAATTCTATGGGACTACACAATACACACTGACAGAACAATCAAAGCCAACCGCCCAGATATTGTTATTAAAGACCACAAACAAAAACGGTGCCTCCTTATTGATATGGCAGTCCCTGCTGACTGCAATGTATCTTTGAAGATATTCAAAAACTGTCAAAATACAAGGACCTTGAAATAAAAATCTCGAAAATGTGGCATATGGTAACATCAACAATCCCTGTTGTAGTTAAAGCCCTAGGACTGGTTGGAAAAGATTGCAGTAGACTAATTGAAGGGATTCCTGGAAGTCCATGCCTAAAGAAGATACAAAAATTGTTCTGACAAGTACAGCCCACACTTTACGAAGGGCTTTATCTATGTAATATTTTTTTTGTGTGTGTCAGTGGAAAGTGTCATGATGCCATTTCTAACCTTAGGTCCCTGGGCGGGACCCGGAAAGAAATGTGTAAACGCCAGAAATCAAAGAAAACAAATAATAATAATAATAATGACACAAAAGACAAAGAAGCAAGAAATGCAAACCGGTCCTTCTATACAAAACAAAGAAGGAAAATATATCAAATAATTGATGCAACCTTTCCAGCTACGACAGGATGAAAGTGAAAATGGCAGCACTTAACACAATCTTAAGAACTTTTGAAGACAGGTTCATAGCGACATTTAGTCACGTGGAACTGTTGAAGTCGGTTGGTCAGTGGGTACATTACGTGAAAATTTGTTTATAAAGCTTAGATTTATGTTGGTTTCCACAATGACTGAAGATAACAAATATGTGACAAAAGGAATAAGGCAAGTATAACTGAAAACCCCAGTATTTCCCAATAATGTGCAAATGGCGACAGAATGTATGCCAAAAGATTTAACTAAGAAAAACATAGCAGACCCTGCAAGAAAGCTATCCAGTTGAGAAGAGAAGCTATCCGTAAATTCCATAATCAACTCTCAACTGAACAAAAAAATATGGGAGAAAAATATCCAGGAAAAATAATATTACCCCATTAAAACACATCAACAAAAAGAATACAAAATTTACAAATAAGATGACAGCCAATATCTTTGCAGAAAACTTATCATCTGAAAACCTAGATAAGAGATTAAAAAAAAAAGAAACGCAAGAAAGTAAAATTTAATTCCCAAAACACTGAAAATTATAACCAACCTTTTTCAATCACCGAACTACAAGACTCTCTAAGCAAAGTCCAGGAAACAACCACAGAAGCATATGAGATTCACTACCTGTTCCTAAAGCAGTGTCTTATAAATATATTTTATGATCGACTCTTTCAGAATGTGATCCATCATGTCTCTCCATTGCTTCCTGTCTTTTCCAGCTCTAAATAACTTTTGATCCTTTACCATCCATTGTTGCGCTTGTTTCATTAACCCATTAACACAAACGCGTTAGTTAGGTCATAAAGATAGCATTTCTTGTTCGAATACCTTGAACAACCCAATGCTGTTCTCGTCCAATTTCCGGTTTAATTGTACTATGAGATCTATCTGTTTACACTCCTAACAATAAGTTTAGATATGTGGCTCGTTATGTGAATCATCTGACAGTTCACATTCATTTTCACCTTTTTCTTTTTTTTTTTTTTTTTTTTTTGCATCACTATGAAGGCATTTCTTCTGCTCTTTCTCCGCTGTTATAAATTTCATTTATCATTTCGTTAATCATATCGATCTCAGATTCATCTAAATCCAACAACATCTCTTACAATCCCATCTGGTACAGTGCTTTCGTTTCGTTTCTATTCATCTTAGCCAGTGACGATCTTACCTCAATTTTGAATATTGCAGGTCCTTATGTTTTTATGTATTGCCGATTTATCTTCACTATTGCCATGGAAAAGTTATTCACTGTATTTGCTCCATCTTTATAGTTTGTTTTCTATTATAAACGTCCTCTTTTCATGCATAATTCTTGTACTGTTATTGCATTGTTCTTTTTTTATACGTATCTCCAAAATATCCGTGTTTCCGTTTCTACGCACTCCTTGTTGAATGATCTTTTGTCTACTTGAATTTCTTTCTAATGTTTTTCCTTAGCAACAAATATTCTGTGCTGTTTCTGGTTCTTTTTACTGATTATTTTTCATTGGTTTGAGAAATTCATCTTTTCTTTTAATCATGTCCTTTTTTTTCCCTTTATATGTTCTATTTCGCTAATGTTCCTAGTGTTTCCCTTAATCTGTTCTAATTTAATTACTGTACTCATCTACGCTTTTATATTTGTTTTTAACTGTATCAGTAGAAATCTCTTGGGTCGTCCTGAAATTTTTGTATTGCGGTCTAGGCGTTGCTTCAGGTTTTCAGTAGTTTTAACCTTAGTTTTCTTAGAACTAGGAAATGGTCACCCCTACATTCGGCACTTAAATGAGTTTTAGAGTGTTGAGCTACATCTCTGAAATTTTGTTATTCATTGTCATATTGTCTAGTTTGCCCTATCTTTGTTTGGGATTTTCTGTGTCCACAAGTTTTTTTTTATCTTGTATCTAACATAGATTTTCAGAGGTGAATAGATTATATGAAAGCATTACCATTTGGACGAGCCCAAATTATGAGGAAAAAATGCAAAGTACCATAGAAGCAGAAAAGAGAAAATTAAAGCAGGAAATAATCGCTATTTAATATTATTTGTTTTAATCATGAGACAAATTTGACAAACTATTAGAATCTGACTTTATGATCCAAGCAGGAATTTTCACAGTCATTTTACTAGTATAGATTACATATTTTAATATGTTCTATCTGTTTTCTGTCATTTCTTGTTATCTGTCATTGAAGCAAACGAAAGCAAAATTGGCGAAATTCGTAGGTTTAATTCCCATTACAAAATGACTCCCATTACAAAATAAATCAAATGTCTTTTTTTCTCTTTTATAATCGATTTCGTCCAAGAAAATACGTAATGTGGATCATTGCATTAGAAATCTTCATGAACTGCACGATTTACTGATGGTCATTTTTTGTGGAATTTAGAAATATCAGACCACTATAGTCTGTAACATCCTCATCTACACATTCAAGAATTATGTTCAGACTTCAAAATATGCTTTAAAAATTTACAATTATTGTTCAGTTACTCTTGAATGTAAAGGAAATACTTTTTTGTTGCGCTATATACAAATTGGAAATATGGATTTATTTTAGATAGCGTTTCTCGTTCAGATCTAATTATCAATTAAATTAAAAATAAATAAACTGTTTTGAAGAATTAAAAACCTAAAAATCGGATTGAAGGATATCCTGTAAAATTTGATTTCCTTTGAGACTATTTGATTAATTTATAATTTAAGTTACTTTTAATAAAAATTTGTTTTTGTTGGTCAGATTTATGAATCAATCGGTCTAAAGTGGATGTTAAGACTTTGTGAACAGAGCTGTTAGGGCAGGAAATGAAGATAAGACGGCTGCCAAAGTGAATGGTAAAGAAGGACAGAAAACGTCGATGGTTATTTAGGCAATTACGGAACCACTAGCCGACAGCATGGATTCGAGAGTATTTTACTGGTTGTTGATGAATCATCTGAATTCTCAGTGAGCCAGCCTCGAATATTGATCCACAGTCCTATATAGTCTACGGATAGTTGCGTTCAGGTCAAGATGATGACTGATATGGTTTGTTTGTGTAAAGTTAGACTGAGCACACGAACGAAAGAAAATAAGAGAGGTAGAGAACAAGAATTATCCATTGCGTGTATGTTTTTATCATTAAAGAGGCAACAACAGTATTAGATAGTCGCTAACTGTTGGTGAATATAGAATCGCCAAAATCTGATATACTTATTGGAAGAAATGAAGAAAAAGAAGGGAGAATGAAGATAAAAGGTAAAAAGTAAAAGACCTGGTGAGAGAAAGATAATAAAGAAAACGTGAATTGAAGGGCATGAGTAAAAAGGAGATAACGTAGAAAGAGTTGAAATGAAGAGAGAAGAAAGAGAAAGAGAGAGAAATAGGAAATAAATATGTAAAAATGATTAAAATGATTATTATTTTTATCGTTAATTTCTATCCGTAAACGCATGATGATTGATAAAGAATGGAAGCAATTTCTCTGCTTTTTCATTTTTTTAATATATTTAAGTAGAATTCTAACCAAACATGAACCGAACTATGTTACTATTTTGGCTACTATGCGTGTGTGATACATTACATGGCACCACGCTTGTCATAAAACAACACTCCGTAGTAAAGTCGGTTGTATTTCATTCATGTGGAGAGTTCTTTGATAAAAAAAAATGATTAATTCACAGATAGGCGAAATAACGTTATAACACAGACGCTGTTTCATTGTTTCAGATTACGGATGGAACCACGTACATTTTGATTCTTCGTTGTTCAAGTATACCTGGAGAATTTATTTCGTTTAATTTCATAAATCAAGTCTACAATAGACATTTTACGGCATTTTTCATGAAACGTGATGATTCTAGTTTTATGAAATAAAATCTTATAGTTGACTTTATATATATTTTATATGATCTGTTGTTGAGACTGATTCTGCGTATAAGGAATGAGATAGAAATATTTTTATCTATGGATATCCTCAGATTTCACTTTATAAAGTCAGTATTGGTTTAAGTGTTGCCATGTTAATTGCTCCCTGTTATGCTTTTATGAACGTTTTCATCTCTTATTGTGTTTTAGAAAAATTATCTCTTTTTAAATTCTTTCAGCAAATTATTATAAAGTGTATTTCGAGAGTAATACTTTCATCGAACGTATTTGATTTAAAATATAATTTCACGTTTCCTTCTTTTTTTTTTTCATCATTTGGATCATCACGAAACTTTGGAATAATCAGCAATTACTGAGTTGGTTTGATATGCATTTCCAATGTGCAAATGAGGTTGTGTTAAAATGAAATCAAATTGATTCTGTCAAAGCGATTGGAAAAGATTTGTTTACAAATACCAGATTACTGAAGAAAACTACTCTACTAAAACTGCACTTTACCTAATTAATTATTCCAAATGAACTTAGATGTCTTAGGATGAACGTCATGCTCCTTGTCGTAATTTATGGTATAAAACTGGCTATATTTTGAGGAAACGTAGGTGTGTTCACTTCTGAGAGCAGTTAAGTTTCGTTAGTTTGAGAATCTTGTATGTATCTAATAAAACTGGATACACACGAAAACTAATGGAACAAAAATAATGATTGAAAATTGGTTACTTCTTTCTTACCGAGAATGCATAACTATTTTTCATATGAAAACGTCACTTTAATTATCTTAATTAATCAAGGTGAGTTTCATCTTCCTTAAAACTGTGGAAAATTTCAAATTGCATTCACATATCACTTATACTGACCAGTTCTTTATCTAATGTCTCTGGGTCGCCATGTATGACTTTTGCTCGATGTTGTAAGCAGTACCCTACAATGTAACAACTACCCTGTGTACATGAAAGCAGCCCCAATAAACCTTGATAGGCGGGTACAAGAGCAGGACAACAACACTCAGAAAACAGTCTGTCCTTAGCTTCAAAAGATTCAAAAGGTGGACGACACTTCGCACATACCTCTCCCAAGTAAGACCCCCTCCCCATAGAGGAGAACATGACTAAAGACTGTGTGTACACATTCCTGTGCAGCTGCAGAAAGAAATATAAAGGGGAGATAGGTGGCCTCCTTAAAGTAAGGCTTCAGGAACACCAAAAATCAGGCGTGGCTGACCACATATGGAAAGAAAAGGGAGATCACCGCCCTCTGTGGGATCAGGTTGAAATCATAGACAAAGAACATCATTGGAAAATTCGTAAACTTAAGGAATCACCACATATGCTAGGCTCCAAAAATCTCCTGAGCCGACCAAACATAGAAATCAATACAATATGTGAACCAGTAATAAGGAGTGCCAGAGAAAAGCAATAATAACAACGAAAATTGCAATATGAGCTCTGGTAAAAGACATGCAATGTTAACAGCAAAAATTGCAATATGAATACTGATAAAAATGGTTGCTGAAGTTTATTATACCCAGAAATTCATACACAGATGTCCTCAAGGACACATGGCACAGTAGATAAAGGCGTTGGTTCGATCAAGTGATAGGACCCAGAGAGCTGTGAGTTCAATACCTGGTTAAGGCAGTGCTGAACTTGGAGAGGGGAATCAACAGGAGATAACTGACATTCATTAAACATGACACGTGAAACTAGAACAGTCTACCCCAGCGGGCGAAGTAAAGGATTCAGTTCGACATTCCAACCATCCAATCACCTGAAGAAGACCGAAACGTATGGATAAATATGGCAACACAGATGAGGACGATAGTCCGAATAATGTAAATAATGTGTATAATACCTCATCTCAAAAATATAGACAAATCTTAATTCTTAAGTTAATTAATGAATAAGTTCTACGACAATAAAATATTCATAGAAATTCCCTTATCGCATCGTTAAATATGTGAGCTTAACAATTTTAACAAAATATTGCAATAATAATCAATATGAATACTAGTCGTTATATAATGTATACAAATGAAATGATTTGAAATTGAAAACTTTTTTTTATTTCACTGAAACAAATGTTAAACACTTCTATCTTCACTTTCCTTTCTTTCTTTCATTTTCTAACTGAAACCAAGTAGCGTCTCTTATTTGTCTTTTCCGTCTTTGCACGTGATCAAAACGGAATAGTCCGTTATTTATGAGGTTTTGGCAGGGCGTAACACTCATGTTAAGGGAAAAACGAACAAAATTATAAGATAATACAAATTAGTTCATTATTTTTATTTTTTTTATTTTTCCGTTTGGTGCGATAATAGAGTCCAAAAGCTGTCCGTATTGTTCATTATCTCAACCGCTTTCAGTGACTTCTTTAGCCATTTTCATAAGTGAGATGGAGGCTAAGTATTGTTTATTTCTTTTCTGTTTGTTTAAGATGTAGTTTTTGTGCTGTTTGAATAGTAGTAGCTTTTATTCCGATCTTCAACGCACCATTTTCCGCTACTGAATAATATTTTTGTCTTTTATATAAATAAAGAAAACAAAAAAATATTAATTTAAAAGATTAACTTTTTCTAAAACAACCATAATCCAGGAACTGGCTCATCAATTTGGCTATTAAAAATAGGAAACGGATTACTAATCAGTTTCCTGTTTTAATACTTAAGGGAACGAAAGGAAAGTTTAATTAGCAAATTATCAATCAAATAGAGAACATAAGTTTAATTTTTTTTTAAAATAGCAGTTTTTAATGTCTATACTTCGCTATATATATATATATATATATATATATATATATATATATATAACCGATGTTTTTACATTTCGTTTTCTTTGCCGTGTGATATGATTTTCTCAATGATCTACTTTTGGGCTTTTTATACTTACTCACTATCCTTTAACATCATTAGAACACCATAACGTATTTTTCAAAATCTTTCCTTAAATAATTATTTAAGTCAGGAAGCTTTTTTCCCTACACGAATTTAATAAGTGAACAGCCGAGAACACTCAACGTTGTTCAGAGGGAATAAAGCACCGGAGCAAATCTGCTTTCTATCGAACGATCAATAAAAATCTAAAAGTTGAAAATTAATGACCAGTCCCTAAAAACACTTTATTAATTTCGAAATAAGTTGAATGCTTAAAAAGTATTCAATATTTATAACTTAGGTAATTTTAATGTCTATTCGCAACTTTGTTTCATTTATATATATATATATATATATATATATATATATATATATATATATATATATATATATATATATATATATATATATATATATATATATATATATATATATATATATATTCAATACTGATAATAATAAGTAGATAAAATTATTTGCTATATCTTTCTGAGATGAGGTATTATATACAATATTCGGACTATTATCCTCATCTTTGTCGCCATATTTATTACAACTTTTCGGCCGGTGTACGCTCCGGCTTTCTTCAGGTGGTTGGAATGTCGCTCACTGGAGTAGACTGTTCTAGATGTCAGTTATCTCCTGTTAATTTTCCTTCTGAAAGTTTTCCACTGCCTTAAAAGGGTACTGAACTCACAACTCTTTGGGTCCTGTCACTAACCAACGCCTTTATCCACTGTGCCATGTGTCCTTGATGGCATCTGTGTACGAATTTCTGGGTATTATAAACTTAATGTCTTCAGCAACCATTTTTACCAGTGCTCATATTGCAACTTTTTTGTTATTATCGCTTTTCTCTGGCACTCTTCATTACTGGTTCCCATATTGATTTCTATGCTTGGTCGGCACAAGAGATTTTTGTGGCCTAGCATATGTGGTGATTCCTTAAGTTTACGAATTTTCCAATGGTGTTCTTTGTCTATGATCTCAACCTGATCCCACAGAGGGCGGTGATCTCCCTTTTCTTTCCATATGTGGTCAGCCACGCCTGATTTTTCCATTTCCCCTCGTGTTACAGGTTTCTGGTGCTCTTGAAGCCTTACCTTAAGGGGACAGCCTATCTCCCCTTTATATTTCTTTCTGCAGCTTCACGGGATAGCGTACACACAGTCTTTAGTCATGTTCTCCTCTATGGGGGGGTCTTACTCGGGAGAGGTATCTGCGAAGTGTTGTCAAGCTTTTGAAGGTTGTCCTGTATGGACCGCAGATTACTAAACTGTTTGTTACCTGCCAAGAAATTTACAAGGCTGGGGTTTACCTGGACAATTGATTAATGTCGTTTTGCCATTTTACAAATGGGACTGATTACCCATAGAAGTTATTTTTGTAGCTTTCAAGCTTATGAAAATCAATGAATTTTTAGGTTGCGTATATTTTTTTTATTTTTAAATCTATTCTTGTTTGTTAGTATCTGCTTCTTACAGTTGCCTACAGATAAAAGTATAATAAAATTATCTACTCATTTGAATTTCCTCTGGCCATAATCATATTATATTTTCACGGTCACTGTCCGAATTACACTTGAGAAAACACTAACTCAGGATCAGTGGCTAAAAAAGAAATCCACTTCGCTTGGGTCGTGGAAAGCACGTTAGTAGCAAATTTCTTTCTTTTTTTCATCTATCTCTTCCTTTTCTCAG